AGATGACCAGAGAAGCAGATTGGGACCAGCAAAACAACTCATACAAGCTTCAGCTCCGAAAGATCTAACTTTTATTGCTTGATGGTTTTAACTACTAATCGGAAATATAGTGAATTTTAAAGACTGCACAAAGGAGCTTTAAGTTGTAAGTTGTTAAGCACTTGAGTTGTTGAGCACTAGGAAAGAGATTCTGGTGAGCTATTAGGTGATTATCTTGTTAGTAAAATAATGGAGATAAGGTAGGCACAGAAATTCAGGCTGTGTCTTCTTGTAACCCTCCCTCCTTGAGGTTCCAATTCTTTGTTCTCTGCCTTCTTCTTTTTCTTTGAGCTGGGAGGAACTGATGGTAGTATTAGTGTTGTCACAAAACCTTCACTGTGCGACAAAATGTGAAATCTGTCTGGTTAAATATGCCTTTTGAACTCAACTTAATATTTCAAGTGTGGCAATAACTTTGTCTAATTGAGTAAATCTGGTGTTTTTAGGGTGAAGGGATGACCAGCATTGAACCGACGGCTGGGAAAATCAATGACCTATGTGTGTTTGGTGGAAGTGGGCTGATGTTATTGGCTTTGGACAACAGCCAAATCCCTTCTTATTTCGTACCTGCCCTTGGACCGGCTCCAAAATGGTGCTCTTATCTTGAGAACTTGACGGTATGACTATGTGATGTCAATGACCTATGTTCAAATTATGGGTTGTAAAATCACTTTTTGGCAACTTAAGAATGAGTTTATGATATTCCTATCTATTTACAGGAGGAGCTGGAGGAGAATGCGCAAACAACTATTTATGATGATTTCAAATTTTTGACCAAAGAAGACCTTGCGAAGTTGAATTTAACAAACTTGATTGGAACCAATCTTCTAAGAGCATACATGCATGGTTACTTCATTAACTATCGGCTGTATAAAAAGGTAAATATTTTTTTAACTGGACTGATGCAATAGCCCTTTTCAAATCTATAGGACATTTTATCGGTCATGCAGTCTTCTAAAGCAGTAGTTAAACTAAACTGTTATTTAGAAATGAATAACAATTTAGAGGAGTATGAGGTAGACATGTTTTTCTGCATTCAATCAGGTTTAAGATTTCAGTATAGAGACCTGAAATTGAAGAATTATAATGATAGTTGCTCATATTTCTTGTGCAGGCACAAGCTTTGGCAGATCCATTTGCTTATGAATCTTATATAGAGAGACGGAAAAAAGAAAAGCTGGAAGCTGAACGCGCCTCAAGAATTACAGTCAGTTTCATGCCTGAACTTGTTGATTAATTTACGTTTTCATCTTGTTTCCTTTTGGCAAACCTCTAAAGTATGTTTGGTATAGTAGTTTTGACCAAATTTGGTTATAATGGATTAGTAAGATTGACTAGTTAAATCCATTCGAAGTTTAAGACATCAAGGCTGATTAAAGATATCTTCCAGCCTTGTATATTCCATTGTTTGTTTCAGGTTTGTGTTTGAGCTGATACAGCCTGCTAAGACCAATAGCATTTTGAGTGTGACCATGTTTGGTTAGCTAACCACTGAACTAGAGTGATAATTTAAGAAAAACATTTTTGTTTCTGTACCAACTCATGGTACAAATGCAAGGAAAATTGGTGAATCAACAGATTTTGTTATCCAAAACACCCCTCAATGTTTTCTGTATGGTTAAATGACGTCACTATCTGCAGGATGATAGTCAGTTTGCATTTGCATGGTATTCTTTCAAGATATAAGAAAAATTGTCTTATTTTGGATACAAAAAACATCCATAGATGAAGGCTGATTGTTTCTAGAGAGTAATCAATAATAATCTATATATGACATAGAAGAGATATTTGAATTCATTTGCATAGTAGTTAACTTCATAACCTGACTACATGAGGAAACTATCAAGTGCAATGTGTGGTTTACCTTCTTTGAATAGCATTTTATAGGACTCCTTGTTTTCACAAATACATGAAGTTGATATCTTGCGGGCATTTTGTTTCTGGTTTCATTCTGCTGGGGGTCAAATAATAGCACAGAACAAAGGGAAAAAATCACTTTGATACCCAGTATCCTTTCAATAAATATGAACTCTCAATTATATGTAGTATAGGTAAATCTGATGTTCTTTCAAAAGTAAAGGGACTTTTGACATGTTGGGCAGTTATTGGTGAATGGTGATGTAGCGGATTGATCTAATTATTATTCCATATTCATTTTATTTATTTGCTGATCTCAGTTGTATACCCAAGCAATTTGTCCGGTCTACATTCTCTCATATCTGTAGACATCACGCTTACATGCTTATGCTACTTGATGTTATCTATAACTCTTCCTTCTTAAAGAAAGAAGAAAAAGGTCATATTTGTTGATGTACTTGCCCAAGTTCATTTGGTTACGAATGCCTTTTCTAGTGGTTGATTGTTTAAAATATAGTCGCTGTAAAATTAGATGATAAAAGGGCAAGTCACCTTGATCACCTAGACATACTTCTTCCAAATTTAGGCTCCCGACACCCCCCCCCCCCCAACAACAACCCAAAAAAAAAAAAATAGTGCTATACTAACCAAATTCGAAGTTATCCTAGTAGCCAATAAGGGAGGACCTAAATTACACATAATATGTCTATGCACGGATCTTTTCACCTATGTTGTTGTGCTTGTACAAACGTTTGCACTTTGTTGTAACATAAGAGTGAAACTATAATTGCTTGTTACTTGAAACTTGCTGCTTGATAGAATAGTACTAAGATTGGTAAAACTATAGCACCATGCATTTTTGTGTTGAAGGGTTGTGGTGTCATTGCTTCTTGAAATGTATGACTTTGAGATATTTTATGCTCTAGTGTCAGAAACTTGTTATTTGGTATTTCTTAACCTTTGTGTGTTCGTCTTTCTGCAGATCAAGAGAAAGTTGCCAAAAGTTAACCGTGGTCTTGCAGCTCGACTTCTTGAAGATGAAGATGCTGAGAATGAAGGGAGAGACATTGATAATGGTGATACTAAGAAAACATCCAAGAAAAAGAAAGGACTAACCAGTGAGGTCATGAAGGACGACCGATTTGCCGCAATGTTTGAAAACAAGGTAATTTTACACTTCTTTTTATTTGATTGATGTCTCTTTAGTAATCTAAAGGTATCTCACACATGACAATGCACTCTTCTGAAACTAAACTTTGAATGTTGTGGAGGGGAAATATGGCACCTTGCATGAAATTGTTTGAAAGTCGTGCTAACCATTGTTTACTTTTTTTTCCTTTGAGATGCTCAAGAAGCGCCCAGAATTTGTATACTAAAAATTGGAGCAATAAGAACCTTCATGGTGGTTGTTATATGGTTTGTTGGGAAATATTTTATGTAACTAAATAAACCTACATGAAGAGTAATGCTGGAAATCTAATTGGATCTTAATTATTAGTTTATTCAGATAATTTCTAATAGTTGGGATAGTTATTTGCTTATAAGTGGTAGTTTGTAATTGTCAGTTTAGTTTAGGAATGCCATGGACGTGTATGATTTTGTTGCTCTTTCATGCATTTCTTTATATTGTTTAGCTGCCTGTAGTTAAATTGGTAATTAGGGCCGCTCCTATGTTGCCTGCTTTTGATTAATGTCGTCTATTGATTCTTATAGGACTTTGAGATTGACGAGTTTTCACAAGAATATTTGGCTTTCCACCCAATAGCATCCACGAAGCAACCATCTTTGGTCGAGGAGCATTTTGAGCCTGTAATGGAAGATGAAGACCTTGATGCAGATGATTCAGATGTATCGGCAGCCAGCCAATCTTCTGACAATGAGGATGCTGGTGGCAGAAAGAAATCACGAGGTCCTAGGTGAGTCTTGAGTTTATTTTTTGTCCATACTTTCATCAGTGAAGAAAAATGCATCTCTTTCTTGGTTATGTATCCAATTCTGCACTATATCGTACATGAATACTTTGATATGGAAATACTTATGCTAGACTAGACATCAGTCTTCATAATTAGAGATGTAGTAACTAGGCTGATTTGGCTTGGATAACTCATGGACGTAGTTGCCTGATAATACATGAAATGGGCGACTCTTTCTGTTTAATTCTTATCCCTTTATGTGAATACTCAGGTTGTACGAGGTGAAGGATGAGCGACACGCAGAAGCCTTCTCAAATAGCAGATCACTAGCAAAGGAGGACTCTCTTTCATTAGGAGAAAGGGCTGCAGCTATGGCAAATATATCAAGAGATGCTAGTGGTGTTAAGGTGGGAGCAGGAGGGTCCCGTGAAATATCCTTTATTTCCAGAAGCAAAGCAAAGTACAAAGAATATGATGAGGACGAGGAGAGACTGCCTCAGAAGAGGAGAGGAGTCCAATCTTTGAAACTGAAACCAGATAGATCAAGTTTTCGAGGCCGTGGGAGGGGAGGAAGTCGTGGAAGAGGCGGAGGAAGTCGTGGAAGAGGCAGAGGAAGGGGTCGCAGGTGAACTGAAGTTTAATTATGTAACCGTGTGTATACTGTATACTTCTTGTCGGCCCTTTTGCTCAAGCACACTGGAGGGGTACAGCATTGACAAAGTTAACGACTAGAAGAGCAAATTTTGCTGCTCTGTTGCTCACGACGAAGTTTTGCAGTTTTCAGGGGCACACATCCTTCAATCATCTATTTTGAAGGCGTATTAGGAGGGTACTTAGTGGAGAAGGCGGCTCTTTATGTCCACCTTTTATAGTTCAATTCCTCGGAAGAGGAATTCATTTTTGGTTCAATAGGTCTGATGCTTTTCTGGTGACTTAAACCTTGATACGTTAGATCAAATGCATGAGATCATTCGCCTCTCTTTACTACTTGATCTAAGCATCAATTTTGGGTAAAATTAAACTGGTGCAGAGGGAGAATAGTGGAGGTAAGGAGCTCAGCGAATTCTTGTGCAAAGTTGAAATAGAGTTTCTATGGAAGGTTTACGCGCGGTGTGGACTTCAAAGATTATCATGCTCAGTGTTGCTGAGTAAAGTAATAAGAAATTGGAAAGTAGAAATTGACAAAATTAAAAATTGTAATGAACAGTATATTTAAGATATAAGTAAAAAAATATTACAAGTAATGAGCGTAGATTGTTGATTGGAAAAGGCGTGATTTAAAAAACAGAATAAGTAGCTCTTCAGTCATTAATGTTGAGATTATTGATGTTGAGGTTGTCAATGTTGTGAACTTCATTCATAGTGTAGTAAGTGATTATTTCATAAGCTGAGCGTCTTATTATTCTAAACTTTGAAGCAGAGGGCTTGACGTAGCATATAAGGATTTTTCCGTGCAGAATTGTCTGGAGATGTTGAGCTGTATTTATGTTCTGGTGTGAATAAAGTAAGAAAGGAACATAAGTTGCTGAAAAAAAGAGAGCGAAACAAGTGCTGTATAAAAAAAAATTGATAATTACCTCTGTTTGCAAATAGTATAGCTCAGCGGTTGAAAATTGAGCTAGCTTTTCGGCTTCAGAGGCCATAGCAGTAAGACACAGAATGCCAGTTGAATTCGTGATCCAAATTGAAATACAAGCCGTGGAATTAATAAACTAATGCACATGCGATTGGAGGTTTAGATTGACTAACATAAATAGCGTACATTATTTATAAGTACCTGGGTTGGAGATCAACATTAGCTTGGCAGTATTTGCAGATAATTTTCCGTTCATCTATACAGCTGTCTGGGTGATAACAACTGGGACAAACTATATAGGTTAATTTTAGAGGTTTACAATCAAACTCGACGACACCTCTAATCTATGTAGTCTTTGGCTTCTATAAAATAAAAGCAATAGGAGGAGAAAGTGGGACATAGTAACCAGTAAATATAATAAAGAAGTTTAGATGTGAAATTGGACGGTAGTATAAGAATTTTACGAAGTGAAGTAGAGCGGCTATGTCATGGATTTGACTGTGATGAGGGAGAGAAAGAAGGATGTGCGCATTAGCATAACTGTACTCATGGACCATCTATGCTAGCTGAGGTGCGTTGTGATGATACCTAAAATAAGAAAGGAAAAGTTAAGCTGGCACAGAATAATTGAAATGATGGGATGTACAGCGTCTAAAAAATTCTGACCAGCGATGTAGATCCGTTGCCTGTTGCACAATTGGAGCTATCAATATAGCAGTCGAATCTTGAGTTGAAAGACTAAGATCTGGGATTTAAGACGAAAAAAAAGAAGAAAATATCAACCATAAGAAGAACGGAAAAGTTTTTCAGCTAATAAATGTGTTGCTTTTTTTAAATAATAAATAGTAGGTATTTGGTTACAGTTTTGTGTTATGACTTTCATTCTTATGGCAATGATGACTGGAAAATGGTTTTGAGCAGCTGCAATTGCAGGACCGTTGTTTTCTTCGAAGTCATTCTTCAAAGTTAAGATGAATGGCCTCATGCTAGCAACACAGGAAGAATAAATATTTTTGTGAAGAGTTTATTTGCATATATGATGCACGGAATAACAAATTGGATCAGCAGGTAAGATTATTACTCTTGATCGGCAATGACATAGTCTCGAGCAATGGATGTTTTTCCATGAGAAGTGATAGTTTTGACAGGTAAAGCGTGTAGCACAATTCCCATGACATCTAAGGAATTTTTTTTAAAAAAAAAATCAGCATGCTAGTAATTTCTTGGTAGCCGAAAAAGATATTGCATGGCATGAGCGTTAACTTACTTATAAGCTCATTAGTGTCAGCAAGTACGGCTAATGCAGAGAACGAATGTAGCTGGAAATGAAGAGGAAGAGAAGGCTGACTAGCCTCTTGAATTTCTTCAATTAAAGTATCTTTAGTAGCAATGAAATGAAATGGATATTCGATGATGGCAGTATGAGTGTTTGGCGGAGAAACAAATGCTCTAGAGATGTAGTGTCTTTTAAACGGTACAAGCAATTCTACTCTTTGATCGAGAATGTTTTGAGCAACATGCATTTGGACTGTAGTACCCTATGATTAGCAAGCATTAAATTGCATCAGAATTTAATTTGATATAGGAAGGTAAAAAGAAGACTTAGATATATATCACCTCTGCGTCAGCTAGCACAAATGTTCGATAATGTTGCTGAAGAATTGAGTTATACTTCATATGAGTTGCTTCAATTGCCTAGACAATAACTCCCCAGTCTTTCAAGGACGGATGAACAGCAGACAAAGGCATGCTAGAAGGGTTCATTTTTGGGGTATGCTGTAACATGATGTAATTTGAAGAGAGGACTGAGCGTGCTGGTTATTTGAAGAAGAAACTAAATATAATTTATTTGTAGCAGGTCATGAATATCTAGCAGACAAATGGCAAATGATTTGTAGCGTGGTAGGTAATGAAAATTTGAGTAATAAGTTGACTGACCGGTTGAAAAGAGAACAAGTAAGCAGATTGTCAGGCATGAAGCTGGAAATCTAGCACTATAATGTATGTACTGAAGAAACTTTTGTTAGGGTAGTGGTATTTTGTCTGTAACTAGTTTAGAACTTGTGATTTAAACTGAGCATTTTTTTATTCGTGCATAAGCTGAACGAATAATTTGGTGCAAAGTAAGATGGTTGTGGCTGGCAATGCGAAATTATATGAAAAGGAACAGTAAGCAGGGGGTATAATTGTATATATCAAGTGCAGAATATGTAATATTTGTCATAGTGAATTAGTAAATAGTATAATTTAAATTAATTAAAAGAAGGGAATCCGTTTGAATGCATGAAATTGTACTGTAATATAGAAATAGATATTGCAAATTTAATGCACAGTAAAGGAATATTGTGGGCAGAAAAGAAAAGCTTGGTTGATCAGTGTTGGGTCATGCGTGATGTTTGGTTCAGATAAGTCATTTCATTATCAAGAATCTGATTACCTTTTGCAGCAGGGAATATATTCCTGGGCAGAATAAATTGTTGGATATGCATGCTAGTCAAAATGAGCCAGAGTAGTTTGGTTGTGGGGAAGCACGATAACAGTAAGTTGATTATACATTTAATTGAGTATTACATATGTAAGTGGATATTCGTCCATCATAAAAATACAACGAAAATATATTGTACTAAGGGAAAATCTTCTCAACTCCATTACTATCTAAGATTAAAACAGCAAAGTTTGTCTTTGATTCTGGAATGAAGACAAGCGTGTCATTATGCTGCAGATGATGGTCCAGAACAAAGTTTCTCCAATTGCGTTTGAGTCGGTTGCCCTTTATTCCAACTTCAGTGATGTTGTGGCCAGTTTTTAGAACTATAGTTGGAGTTCTCTCACCATTTAGAAAGTGATCAACAAACTAAGGGAGTTTCTCGAAATAAGAGAATGTAAGTTAGTTTACCAATGAGAGTAAATTATTCTGTCGGATGAAACCTGTTTAGAAACGATGGGAAGAAAAGATCATTACCAAGGAACTTGGATATGCTAAGTCAAACGGTTGATAAAAGCAGATTGAATTGGACAAATCCTGAGAGAAATCTGGGCTCAGTGATGAGGAAACAATTTGCCGATGAAGTGATAAAAAGGTAGGATCTGGTAAGAGGAAAGAATGATATTGTAAGATATAGTAAGTGGTATATATAGAATTTTAAATTAGAAAGCCAAACATAACTTGTGAACCTATACTGGTTTGCTGATGCAAAAGATCTGGTAAAGAAACTGCCCATCGGAGATAGACTTGCTTTTTCAGCTCACAGAAATGAATAATATCAAAAATTAGATCTCCAGCATGTCGAAGCAACAGCATATCATGTTCTTTGGTAATGTTCTCGCGACAATATTCTACCCATCCTTCTTCAAAGCAGTTATTTCTGACTGAGATAGTCCGTCAGTGTAATCCATGTCTGAAGGTGATTGTAGTGTCATGGTGTTGTCTGAGCAATATTTGAAATTCAACAAGCAAAGGCTGTATGTTGCATAAAAAGGGAGCTCATGTTTAAACGCAAATTCAAGAATAAACCATAACAAACCTATTACGTTGGAGACAAATATTATTACATGTCCTCTGTTCCTGTATCTAATAAGAAAGCAATATGTTTGTGAAGCATTGCTTGTGACGTGAGAGCAATCCACAGAAACCATAGATGTTTCGGCCATTAAGCTGCTAAGGTGAATGGATGAGATATTGTTTACAATAGAGCGCTGCATATAGTTTAGGAAGTAAAAGTAATAAATATATGAATGAGAGCAGTTGGTGAATGTAGTTGTATAAGTTTGAGCTACAACGAAAGCGATTAGCAGGAAAAACCTATTGGTGAAGTCAGGAACAAATCTGCTCTTCGATGTGTTAAGTTAAAAAAGCAAAGACATGCACACATAAAGAATGAATGGAAGACGGAACAGATTTATATATTTATACTACTAAGTAGTGACTGTTTATTATAGCACAACAAATATAATAGGTTGTGTGTTGGACCAGCAGTTTAGCAGCTGAGGATGCTGATACGCAGAGAAGTATACGTTATAACTGATGGTATATCTATTATATCCATTGAATAATTAATGTAGAAGTAGATAACTATAGAGTAAAATTGTGACCAGAGTGTTCTAGTGTAACTAGAGGGTAACGAGCATGTCATTGAAATGTAAAGATTGAATAACTGGAAAAAGGTAAAATGTTTAGTTAGAAAAGCAACAGAACAAAATACAAAAGTTTTTTAACTTTAGCTGTAAGTTCCAACAAAGGGAATCAAGCACTGGCAGCATAGTTCCCCTAGTAGAATAAACCACCAAACAAAATAAAGTTCAAAAGAAGGGGATCAAGTATAGGCAGCATGGCTTCTCCAGTAGAATAAGTTGTTGAACAAAAATTAATTGATAGCAACATACAATAGTGTTAACTATTCGTGGTTATCAATACAAAAGGAAATGACAACAATCTAAATGAGTTTCGCCTTTTTCTTGGAGCTTTCACTGACAGTTTGGGAAGTATTATTGCCTCCATCAGCTAATAGTTCAAATTTTTCAATGAGACATTGTCTAGCCTTCGAAGCTGGTTTGGTTTCTTTAACAGGTGCAGCTCCTGTAGCAAAATCAATTTTATTAACAAAGCCAAAATACTAATATATGTCTATATAGGCTATATTTAACAATGATAAATAAATATCTACTCAATTGTATAATAGAATCAGAAGAACAAAGGAGTTTTTGAACTGATGTTTATGAGCTATTATTTTTGGCTTGAGAAGGAAATAAATGCTCTGTTAATATCACTAGTACTATATAAGGTTACTGCTCGACTGCTGATACCTGAAGTGACGGTGTCAGCAATGTCAGCCTGAAGGTCAATTAACAAAGTATCATTCTTGGATTCAGTCGGCGGTTGAACAGCATTAGTATCAAGAACTTCAGAATAGTAGATAATTGTATAGCGTTGCTTTGCATTGGCCATTTGAGTCTGCACTGATTTTATATGTTCCAGAAATCACTTTGACTCCAGCTCCTTATGGACAGCCTCTAGAGAGAGTTCAATGTTCTATGAAAGGAAAATATGGAGAAAAAAATAAATAAATGGATAAGGATTATATGCACAATGCAAATGTCTGTTGCAATAAGAATTAAATGAAAATAATAATAATTTGACAGTCATTTTTTTTAACGAGAACAGGCCTGCTTAAAATGGTCCATTATTTCAAAAGCAGTGAAAGTTAGCAGCTTTTCTGCTTGTTCTCCAAAGACAGAAACTGTGATGGCACCAGTATCATCACATAAATCCATATCAAAGCGACACCTATAGATGTATGTAAATTTCAGTGAGGCATGTCTATTAAAGAAGAGTTGAGCAGAACTTATACGTTAATGAATTTCAAAGTAACTACCTAGGCTGAGCAGGATGCTTTTCTTTGCATGTATTACACATAAAAATAACTCCATCTGCAGCAGCAGTGCCCTGACAGCATTTTTACAACTCATATGCCAATATTTCTGGAATACGTGCTGAAAAGAGAACCTTGCTTTAACCCATACATTCTAAAAGACAACAATGAAAGGCACAGTTTTAACCCATATCTTAATATGCAAATGGACAGTTAAATGGCAGACTAGAGGAAAAAGTGCTGAACCTTTTGTGATGGTCTGACATTTGAAATTAAAGTGATTTTCTGATCTAGTTTCACTGATATGTGAGGGTTATACTTAATATAGCTTTTTTTCATCAATGATTGCTGCAAGTAGTTTGGTATTTCTCATCGCCTTGTGATAGAGTAATTGAAAATAGTAATGGAAACAATTGATTACAGGTAATCAATTGCTTACATGACATAAATAATTAATTAATACCAGTTCTTTAGTTCTCTTGCTTCCTGTACATGAGGGTCAACGAGGATCGCAGAATCAAACCACGTCGACAATGCAACTCCTATAGGATTAAGAATGATGATACATTGGAAAGTCTGGTGCATCAATTTTTCATGGAAATGAAAATTAAAATAAAAATGTATGGAGGCAGAATTACCATTATAGTTGCTAACTTTCAGCCTGCGACATATGGAAAGTATGACAGCTTGTGATCTAATACGCAGACAATAAGCAGCTGTTAAGACATATAAGAGATATACAGAAAATGAGAATGGAACTAAGTAAGAGTTTGAAGTGCAGCAGAAAGGAAATTTTACTGTTCATTGACAAGGACGAATTTCTGAATAATAGATTCTTTGAAATCTTTATTAAAGATCCTCATGTCCTGTGCTTCAATAACTATTCCAAGGACATCTGTCAAAGGAAAATGTTCTTGTAAAAGCTGCTCTAAGTTGAAATTCATGATATATGTGTAATACACAACATACATACCCACATATTTATCCCTATGATCTATGTACTGTGCCAAGTCTGTGAATTGAGTGCAGTTAAATTTGACAGGCATTATATCTTCGTCATCAGCATCCTTTTCAATGACAGTTTTACTAGTGATCATCCACTGTATTGTCAGTTCAGCTGTTTGATATTTTAGGTGCATTGGTCTAACCACAGTATTCGATATCCTGTACTTTTTGTAGACTTGCAAGATTGGTCCAACCCTAGGAATATCAAGGTTGAAAATAATGCCTTCAACCTTTGATCCCTATTGCATAAACGAAAATGTTCAAGAATCAATCAGTTGTGAATATGAATATAATATAAACAAAAATTTTAAATGCAGAGGTTGTATTTATCTACCTCTATATCAACAAAAATAAACTTTTGCTTCTTTGTCAGCGTCGACAGTGATTGGGTAACTTGCTATTTTTCCTGAACAATAACTTTACACGACCAGTCTTGCATATCAGGTAGAATTTCTTTTATGGATAAGAGTTTGTCCATGCTAAATGGAAAACAATAAAGGAAATACCTATCAAATATCAGTACGAATAAAGAATGGTATTGTAGGCATTATAACAACAAAATAATAATTATGGGCAACAAACCTTAAGTTTAAATAACCCTAACATGCAGTCCTAGTGTTCAGTTAGTTGAAGTATTTCTTCAA